TACACACCCAAAGACCTCCTCCGTCTCTTGCCTCGCAGTTGCCAACGACTTCAACGACCGTCGTCAAATGACTAGCCGGTCGTGAAGCTCGAAGCACCATCTTCTCCGTCCTCCTTGCTCCGCTCCCTGCAAATTCCTCTACCCATCACCCAAATTTATACAGAAAAAAAATATATATATATAAAAAAAAAAAGGAGGTGGTGGTGCATCTGGCACCACGTGAAAAAAGGGGAATGGTGGATCAGGCACCATGTGAAAGCAGACAAAAAAATAAAAAATAAAAAATAAAAAGGTGGATTCTTGGTGGCTAGCACCATGCAAAAAAACAAAGGGAAAATGGGTTTTGGGATGGTGGATCACTCCACGTGAAAAAAAATAAATAAATAAATAAAATATATATATATGTATGTATGTATGTATATATGTATGTGTATATATATATATATGTGTGTGTATAATATATATATATATATACAACAAAAAAAAAGCATTAAGAGAAATAAAAGTCCATTTTATTTATTTTTTCTGGAAATTTTACATAAAATTGCATTCTACATACCAAAAAAAAAAAAAAAATTTACAAATGTGCAAACAAACGGGAGGGAGTCTTTATTGCTCAGGTGGTGTCTCAGTACTCGGTGGAGCTCTAGGAAAAAGAGACGTCGGAGGTTGACTGTTTGAAGTCACACCATTCGGTGGAACTCCAGGAAGAAGAGGAGCCGGAGGTTGATCATGAGGAGCTTCATTACGCGGTACAGCCCCAGAAGACGAAGGCAAATGCTGCTGGAACAAACCCACAAATCGCTGATGATCAAGTAAATCTGACCATCAGATTCCTGCATCTGGTCAATCTTCCTCTTCATGTTTGTCGCATAGCTATGTGCGAGCTTATGCAACTGTTTATTCTCCTGCTTGAGCCCTCTAATCTCCTATTTGAGACTCATCACTTCAGCCGCTAATGATTCAACTTGACGGGTTCGAGCAAATAGGCGTTGGGCCATATTAGACACAGAACATGCACACTGCACACTGAGAGCCAGAGAATCCTTAACAGCCAACTCATCAGACCGTTTGGAAAGTAGTCTGTTATCTCTGGGAATGACAAGGTTTCGGGCCACCACCGCAGCGGTCATATCATTCTTCACCACCGAATCCCCAACGGTAAGAGGACCAGTAGGGGATATGAAGGATGGACGCCATATGTTGTCTGGAGAAGGCGGGACTGCCTCTTCACCAAGATTCAAGTCAAAACGACGGTCGGAGGGTCCGGACATTTTCAAAGTGTTGAAGAAAGAAAAGATCGGACAAATCAAGATCTTAGAAGTGCAAAAAGGGAGTTTTCACAAGCGAAAATTCAAGTGTGCTTTGAAACGAACTGCATGCCTCTATAAAAAATCAGCACTCGACGGGATTTCAGAGATCGAATAGGCGAGCTCAGAATTCGAAGAGGCCATTCAAAAATCGAAGAGGCAAGCACAGAAATCGGAGAAGCATCTTGCTTTTCCAGACGCGTCGGCACCCGTCACAGGCAAACTCAGCTTTGCGAAAATCACGGGCAATTTGTCGAAGCGCCGATCCCAGATATCGAAGAGGCGCCAGTCTTTTTCAGCCTCGTCAACACCTGTCATATGCACACTCAACTTTGCGCAAATCACGGGCAATTTGTCGAAGGTGAAGGAGAAAGCACGTGAAGTTTACTGTTCAATCACGCATTGGTTGCCGACACGAGTGAAATAATAGTACCTCTACAGGTATCAAAGAACTTCCTATAATTGTCCACCTTCACCTTCCATAGCAAGGCAGACATACATAACCTTTCTTCATCTCCAAAAATGCTTTCCCAACGAAGCCTCTCGAGTCATTCAATGTTCCTTATTCCTTGGGGTACCTCTGCAAGCCAATGACTCCAAAGCAAAAGTATCTCATATCACCAGGGTAGAAAGTAAGAGTATCTCATATCATGCGTTCTCCCTGTCATTTCCTTTGTCCTTTTTCTTACCTACAAAGACAAGGATAAAGAAAACAATATGCCGGAACTTCCACTCAAACTCGGGTAAGGAACCGACTGCTTGGAACCCTTCCCTGATTGCCTACCTAGCACTGCTCTCGAGTACTCGTCTCCCACTGCTGATGTACTTCCAAATAAGCTACCACATCTGCCTGAAGAATAGATAAGGCAAGTGAAAATGATACCTTGTAGCATGTGGAGACAACGTGCAGAAGGAACAAGCAGAGAAGAATGCGGTCTGCACAGTCAACTCAGCAGAAGGAGTCCGAGCAGAAGAACTCGAGAAGCTGCCACATCTGCCTGAAGAAACAAGCAAAGAAGAATGCAGCATGCACAGTCAACTCAACAGAAAGAGTCTGAGATGAAGAACTCGAGAAGATGCCACGTCTGCCTGAGGAACAGATAAAGCAAGGGAAAATAATACACTGAAGCATGTGGAGACAAACACAACAAAGCATGTGCCGATTCATCCGCTACTTCTTCAAAATCAAAAGTATCTCACATCATCAGGGTTGCAATCACTCTGGACGGTGAACTCGTTTTGACCCTCAAATTCTTGGGTCGACTTACTAGGAGTTTTGGGCTGCACGTGCCGATTCACCACCCTTGAATCGAATCCTTAAAGATCAAGTCACCAACTGGAAGAAAAGCCCATCAATCTTGAAGATCATACCGTTGACCAAACTGCTCAGGTGTGAATTAGAAAGATTGAACAAAGAAACAGGTTGTCACCTTTACCTCGTGCCTGCTTGCCATGTGTTCGAGTCAACCTTCAAGAATCAAGCCTCAACGGCCCTTGAAGAAGTTTCCAGCCAAATTCAAGATCAAGCCTCGACGGCCCTTGAGGAAATCACAAGTCCGATTCAAGATTAAGTGTCTACCACCCTTGAATCAAAATCTAGTTCAAGAATAAGCTGTGGAAAATCAACAATTGGAGGAATCCAGAAAATCCTCCAACCCAGTTCAAGATCAAAGTTGTGGAAAGTCAACAAGCGCAACAAAATATGTGCCGATTCACCCACTACCAAAGCCAAAGATCATCTACCACATGAAGGTCCTTGTGGTCCAATTTCAACCTTCAAGATCAAGCCTCGACGGCCCTTGAAGAAATTTCAAACAAAGTTCAAGAACAAGCCTCAACGGCCCTTGAAGAAATCTCAAGCCCAATTCAAGATCAAGCCTCAACGGCCCTTGAAGAAATCTCCAGCCCAATTCAAGATCAAGCCTCGACGGCTCTTGGATCGACGTCTACAGTAAGGGACTTCAAAACGCATCTCCTACACGCGACAAGAACATGTACACGACGCGCCTTGAAGTGGGGGCATTTGTAGACATCAAAATTTTGGTAAATAAATGTTGACCGATAAATCAAATTGTCAACGCTCATGTATTACATAAATTTTACACGTAGCGTGCGACTCAACGAAAATTGAAATGAGTTGGAAAAGTCATCAAATAGGACACGTGTCAACACCTGGCAGAAACGACTTATTTCATCTGGGATATTATATTCAAAATTAGGCCTTGGAAAATTCTATAAATACAAGCCCATTTCATTCATTTGGAGAGGCAATTCATATTACACCTTGAAGCTCTGAAGCTCTGAAACTCCGAAGCTCTCAAGCATCCAGGTTCCCAAAGAATCAAGAAAGTGTTCTTCGTTATTCATTCATCGTTCCTCCAAGATCAGGCCCCAACGGCCCTTTGGATCAACAATCATCCACCAATTCAAGATCAAGCCCCGACGGCCCTTGAAGAAAGTGTTCTTCGTTCTTCGTTCATCGTTCTTCTAAGATCAAGCCCCAACGGCCCTTGAAGAACTTCCACCAATTCAAGATCAAGCCCCGACGACCCTTGAAGAAAGCACCATCGTTCATCATCCGTTCATCCAAGATCAAGCCCCAACGGCCCTTTGGATCAACAACGTCGACAAATCCACACACATCCAACCGTTCTTCAAGATTAAGCCCAAAAGCCCTTGAAGATCTGTTCATCACTGTTTCTTCAAGATCAAGCCCAAAAGCCCTTGAAGATCCGCTCATCACCGTTATTCAAGATCAAGCCTCAAACGACCCTTGAAGAAACATTCATCCTCAAGATCAAGCCCCAACGGCTCCTTGAAGATCCGTTCATCACTGTTCTTCAAGATCAAGCCCAAAAGCCCTTGAAGATCCGTTCATCACCGTTATTCAAGATCAAGCCTTAACGGCCCTTGAAGAAACACCCATCCTCGATATCAAGCCCCAACGGCTCCTTGAAGATCCGCTCAAATCCACCTTCAAAGATCAAGCCCACGGCCCCTTGAAGAAACTTCCAACAGTTCATCCAAGATCAAGCCTCAACGGCCCTTGGATCAATCACACATCCACAAATACACACCTTACGGAGATCGAATCAAAGGATCAAATTAGAGAGAGATTGTAACCCAAAATTTTCAAATACAAATATTTGTTTGTGCACGTTGTTCTTGTCTCTTTCGTTTCAGGAATTTTCCGTGTTTACACTATCTACTTGTAAGTCCGAAGTTTTTTTGTTTCCCTCTCTCAATACAAAATAAATTCGTCTTTCCGTGTTTCTAAATTATTGAGTTTGAAGTGTTTTTCTAAGTATAATTTTTTCGATGTCTTGAAGTGTTTTTCTAAGTATAATTTTTTCGATGTCTTATATGTGAAAATAAATAATTTTCTCACATGAAGTTAGGGCACTTTATTTTATGTCGTCCCGAGCCTCAAAAATCTCTGGACCGGCCCAACAGGTCACCAGCTCTCACTTTGGATGTGATGTTATCTCCCCCAAAACTCACAGATATCGCATTCGTCACGACCCTCGACTACACACGAATTCCTATGTTTAATCAAAACTCAAACAAACCCAATTGCGATAAGCTGATGGAGCTTCCTTCCATTGATCTCAAGCATGTTCAGCAGAAAACTCACAACACGTTTGCTAATTCTATAAATCTGCTTTAGGTGCTAAAGCTGATGGTGCAAGACATATGTGGGTCCACAACAACATATATATAATATAGAGCACTAAAAGAAACGATAATTCAACAGCTGCTGCATACATGCACCCAATCCTCCTCAGCTTCAGGAATCAGCAGGTGGTACATCAACGAGCAACCAGGAGGGCAAGGGCACATCTCCTCCAGTTTCCTTGAGCAGTTTGTTCCAATCCGGGCAGTCACCAAGCCTGTGGGTACCAGTCTCATCACAATAAGCACAATTAAGGCGAAAAGCACGCCGCCCATCAAATCCATAGCCCTTGCCAACCTGGGTTACGCCATAGGGGATATGTTTCCTCCAAGGGCATTGATTCGGCCAGTGGCCAGGCTTAGTGCAAATTACACAACTAGACGGCGGCATTTGGGGAGGCTTCGCAACTATGCGTATGGGTGGGTCTTTGGGAAGTATGTCCTCCTTGAGCCAAGCTGGAAGAGTATTCTTCTCCTTAAGTTGGAGTTGGGTCTGAGAGTCTTGAGTAACCTCTACTTTTGTGAGATGAGTCGTCGGAGAGTCTTCAACATAATCTTTTTCTTTATTTTTATCTGTATTTGTGTTTAAAACAAAATGTACAGATACATTAATCAGTTGCGGACAAAAAATTTAGCTCACGTGCAGTATAAAAAAAAATTAACTAAATATGTTTCAACAAATTATGAAAGTGATAAGATTCGTAGCTTGAGACTACTTTTAATATTAAAAAATTTAGCTCACGTGCACCTAGTAATATTTAAGATTTAAACACTGCAAAAATTAGGCATCAAGTACCCTGATTAAATACAAGCATCGGAACCCTAAAAACATATGCAGATTGCAACAAACATATGCAGCCGAAATTGAAATGCATGAATCCCTAATTAAACATAATGCTGCTGATGATGTTTCTCCTTACAAACCCTAAGAACAAAAATTGAAACAGATAATCGTCCTCCTCATAAACCCTAAAAACTAAAATTGAAAAGCGTACCAATACTAGGAGTCGGAACCTCATCTTGAAGCTTTGTGGGTTGGGCCGGAATTGGATTCTCCCCCTCCGCGGATCCTCCTGGTCCGCCTTCAGATCGGCGTTTCATAGATTTGTTTTTGTCAGAGATAGAAAGAGAGAAGGAGGCACGAGTTTCTCGATTGTTTTTGTTTATTTTGTCAAATAATTTGTCAATCCAATAAAATTCCCAAATGCACAATAAGCGTGTGTGTTTAAACATGAAGAAATATATAAAATAAAATAAAACCCATAAAAATTGAAATATCCCAAAAACAATTGAAAAATAAATTTGAGTTCTGTATGAATATAAATTAAAATAAAATATGGAAAAGTAGGAAGTTGTTTATAACTAAATTAATATATTGTCTTAAAATTTACTGAAAATATGACTTTAGCCCCTGAAACTCAAGTTTCTTTACATAAAACCCGACATAGTTTTTTTACTTGAATAAAACCTAGACTCCACATAAGCAAATTCATTAATTTTGTTTGCCTTTACACATTTTACATTTTTCATATGCCTAAAATACTTCTAATTACTATTTTAATGTATACATTTAATTCTATGCAAATTTGAAGGGAGCGATTAATGAAAACAAAAGCACTAATGTTAACTTTCCTTAAGATTTCGTAATTGTTTTTCAAATTTACATATAATTAGATTTTTTAATTTAATCTTGTCATATCCAAATCAAGCCAAAAGGAGGACGAGAACCTGCAATTCGAGGAGGAGGAACAAGACAAGGCCACGATAAGGGTAGAACAACCCTTGCTGCAGCCACCTACACTCCCTAATCCGTCCAACACAAGTAAGATAGGTTCTGTTAATTCTAACCCTATTCCACCAAATGTACCTTTCCCTAGCAGATTTATGCAATCAAAGAAGGAAGAAAGTGACAAGGACATTCTTGAGACGTTTAGGAAGGTACAAGTCAATATCCCGCTCTTGGATGCAATCAAAACAACACTACTACAAAATGAGATATCAGTGGCGCTATAAAAGCGACAAAAAACACCAATTAATGTCGGATTTTTTGTAAAAATCCGACATTAAGTCGTGCAATGTCGCATAGTGAAACCGAGGCCAATACTACCGTCACAAAAGGGTATTGGCGTCACTTATCCCTCTTAATCCGCCACCAAGAAGGAAAGTATTATAAAATAAAAAAGAACAACAACGTCGCTTAAAAGCGACATCGGTACTTACGTCACTTAAAAGCGACATCTAAATCTGATATGATGGCGGTCAAAACCGACATTAACTAACAAAAAAACAATTAAAATATCACACTTACTGTCGGTCCAAACCGACATCACCTCATTTAAATAAATAAAATAATCTAGCTACTGTCAGTTGTAACCAACATTAGCTTCAATCTCAATAAATAAAATACTTAGCTGATGTCGTCCATAAGCGACACCAAATATATTAATAATAAAAAAAAATATTTTTCCGTTTTTAATTAATAATTATTAGTCCAAAAGTAATTTTTTAGTTAAATGTTTGTTAATTAAAGGATAAACACTTTTGGACTCAAGCCTGACAGCCTGGGATTACCATCCTGTGTACAAAGTCAAAAACCCAAATGGTAAATAATAAAAACAGATAAACCTGCAATTCATATCCTCACTGAAAGTCCTTGTGTTGCATTCCCTTCTACTCGATTATAACCAAAAAAAAAAAAAACACACACACGCACACAAACAAACAGATTAACCCCCAAAAAAAGGGTTAGCAAATCAGGAAGGAGAAGAGGAAAAACTGAAAAGTTTGTTAAAATTTCTAATGGAAATCCTTCTCAGCTGCATTTAAGAACACACAATGTTATAATACACAGCTCCAAGCAAACCCATATCTTAGAAATTAATGCACTATAACACCAGATACCATCTTATCATAGCCTTCAATCAACTTGGAATGATCAGCACTGCCTCCATTCCTCTCCTTCCCCACTTTACCTTTGCTTTTCTCTGAACCCCTCTCCCTCGGTAATGAGCTCCGACTTCTCCTCCGCTCCTTTCTCCGATCCCGAGGCGATGGACTCCGACTCCGGCTTCTCCATCTCCGTCGTCTACCTCCATCGGAATCGCTCTCAAACCTCATCCTCCTCCTCTCTCTATCCCTATCTCTTTCTTTATACCTCTCTCTACTCCTACTTCTCCGCCTCGAATGCCTCTCTCTACTCCTACTTCTCCTCCTCGAATGCCTCTCTCTGCTCCTGCTCTGCTTCCTCAAATGCCTATTCTCTCTCTCCGAAACCCTAGCCGGTTGCCTATTCTCCCTTTCCTCCGCAGCGTCGGCCTTCTTCCACTTCAACTTGTTATGCTTGCTACTGGATTTTGAACGTTACTGTCAGAACGTTCGTATTGAAGTTTCTCATAAAATTTCTAAAAGATTTGGTGAAGGAGAAGAAATGGACGATCGGATGAAATGGGGAAGGAGAAGAAGAAAGATTGAAATTGGGGGAGAAATGAAAGCACGGACGAAATGGGAAAGAAAGGTGTTTAAATATGGGTATTTAGTTGGCGTCGGTTTAAACCGACATGGATTGACTGACATCGAATTAAAAATTACTGGTGTCAAATTAAATGTACATGGCGTCGGTTAACACCGACGCCAACCTTACACACTTTTCTACCCAGTCAACTTTCTGACACTCTTTAATAAAAGTACTGCGTTGGTTTAAATAAATGTTGGTGTCGGTCTTAACCGACACCAACTTCTGACATACTTCACATAGCGTCGGTTGAACAAAACTTTTGTCGCATTAAATATGATAGTGTCGGTTAAAACCGACACTAAGTTTACCAAGCAAGTAACATCCCGCCTAATATTTCATCGAATTCGTCCTTTCCCGCCTAGAGTTTCCCACCTAATATTTCATCCAATTCATCCATTTCCCGCCTAATATTTAACCCAAAGAAAAAAAATAACCAGCTTTTTCTTTTTTGTGTTATCTCATATAACATTTTAAAATTTTAATAAATAAAATTTAACTTCAATAAAATACGTAATAAAAAACATAAATATAATTTTATTATAAAATATCATCACATGCTAATTGAAACATAGTCTAAATAATAATTACAATATATAAAATAATTAATATATTTATTCCAAGTCATCATCTGAATCGAATTCATTAAGTATAACATAAGATTTGTGGTATCCATTAGTGTAAATATTTTAAATTGAAGATCAAATTCTTTCATTGTATTCATATAGGGTCAAGGAGTGTAGCTATAAAAAATCATCAAAATCGAAGTTAAAATAACCGTTAAATCGTGATTTTTCTTTTATAACCGTCAAAAAGTTTTGTCCTATTACTTGATCTCTGAATGTTTATTTTTTGCGATTTTTGGCGTATGCGATCTCGAAGCATATACAAACAAGTTTGACGGTTGGATCATTGAAATTAGTTTCATAGGATGCATATCTCATCAAAACGATAGATTCACTAACACTTAGAGTTTATTTATACTTTCATTAAGTATAACATAAGATTTGTGGTATCTACTAGTGTAAATATTTTAAATTTAAGATCAAGTTCATTCATTGTATTGATATAAGGTCAAGTAGTGTAGCTGTAAAAAATCATCAAAATCGGAGTTAAAATAACCGTTAAATCATGATTTTTCGTTTATAACTGTTGAAAAGTTTTGTCGCGTTACTTGATCTCTGAATTTTTTTTTTTATGATTTTTGGTGTATGCGATCTCGAAGAATATACAAACAAGTTTGACGGTTGGATCGTTGAAACTAGTTTTGTAGAATGCATATCCCATTAAAACAATAGATTTATTAACACTTACAAGTTTATTCATACTTTCATTAAGTATAACATAAGATTTTGTGGTATCCACTAGTGTAAATATTTTAAATTGAAGATCGAGTTCATTCATTATATTCATATAGGGTCAAGGAGTGTAGCTGTAAAAAATTATCAAAATCGGAGTTAAAACAACCGTTAAATCGTGATTTTTCTTTTATAACCGTCAAAAAGTTTTGTCCTGTTACTTGATCTCTGAATGTTTGTTTTTTGCGATTTTTGGCATATGCGATCTCGAAGCATATACAAACAAGTTTGACGGTTGGATCATTGAAATTAGTTTCATAGGATGTGTATCTCATTAAAACGATAGATTCACTAACACTTAGTTTATTTATACTTTCATTAAGTATAACATAAGATTTGTGGTATCCACTAGTGTAAATATTTTAAATTTAAGATCAAGTTCATTCATTGTATTGATATAAGGTCAAGTAGTGTGGCTGTAAAAAATCATCAAAATCGAAGTTAAAATAACCGTTAAATCGTGATTTTTCGTTTATAACCGTTGAAAAGTTTTGTCGCGTTACTTGATCTCTGAATTTTTATTTTTTACGATTTTTGGCGTATGCGATCTCGAAGAATATACAAACAAGTGTGACGGTTGGATCATTGAAACTAGTTTTGTAGAATGCATATCCCATTAAAACAAAAGATTTATTAACACTTACAAGTTTATTCATACTTTCATTAAGTATAACATAAGATTTTGTGGTATCCACTAGTGTAAATATTTTAAATTGAAGATCGAGTTCATTCATTATATTCATATAGGGTCAAGGAGTGTAGCTGTAAAAAATTATCAAAATCGTAGTTAAAACAACCGTTAAATCGTGATTTTTCGTTGATAACCGTCGAAAAGTTTTGTCCCATTTTTTTATCTCTGAATGTGTTTTTTTTCCGATTTTTGGCGTATCCGATCTTGAAGCATATACATACAAGTTTGACGGTTAGATCGTTGAAACTTGTTTTGTAGAATGCATATCCCATTAAAACAATAGATTTATTAACACTTAGAATTTATTTGTACTTTCATTAAGTATAACATAAGATTTTATGGTATCCACTAGTGTAAATATTTTAAATTGAAGATCGAATTCATTCATTGTATTCATATAGGGTCAAGGAATGTAGCTGTAAAAAATCATCAAAATCAGAGTTAAAATAACCGTTAAATCGTGATTTTTCGTTTATAACCGTCGAAAAGTTTTATCCGGTTACTTGATCTCTGAATGTTTGTTTTTGCAATTTTCGGCATATGCGATCTCGAAGTATATACAAACATGTTTGACGGTTGGATCGTTGAAATTAGTTTCGTAGAATGTGTATCCCATCAAAACAATAGATTCACTGATACTTAAGAGTTTATTCATACTTTCATTAAATATAACATAAGATTTATTGGTATCCACTAGTGTAAATATTTTCAATTTGAAGATCGAGTTCATTCATTGTATTCATATAGGGTCAAGGAGTGTAGCTGTAAAAAATCATCAAAATCGGAGTTAAAATAACCGTTAAATCGTGATTTTTCGTTGATAACCGTCGAAAAGTTTTGTCCCGTTACTTGATATCTGAATGTTTGTTTTTTGCGATTCTTTGATGATGCGATCTCGAAGCATATACAAACAAGTTTGACGGTTGGATCGTTGAAATTAGTTTCGTAGAATTCGTTTCCCATCAAGTTCAATGGTGTGTGTGTATATATATATATATTTATTAAGTAGATTTAAATTTATTTATTTTGTACATATAAAACTTAAGAAATTGAATGATATGTACATTTAAGCTGATCCAATGGTCACCAATTGTTAATATATAATTTAATATATATATATATATATAATTATTATAGTTTTTAGGGGTATAAAATTGTTAAATTAATATATATAATTATTATAGTATTTTTTTAGGGTTTAAAATATTTAAAAACAATAAGTAGTGTCGCCTAGAAGCGACACCAATACTTTATGTCGCTTAAAAGCGACATTGTTTTGTTTAAAGCGACGCCAGTATTTAAAATTATTAAACTATATGTCGGTTATAAGCGACATTAAATGTTTACGTCGATTTAAAAGCGACGTAGACATTTTATGACGCTTATAAGCGACAGTAAATCCGACGTCATGTTCAATTAGTGTCGCAACTGTCTTATGCACCACTACGTTATATTAAACCGACACCACTCACTGACACTATAAGTCCCTTTTGTAGTAGTGCAAGTCCCAAAGTATGCTAAATTCTTGAAAGAACTTTGCACAACAAGGAAGAGGATTTCAAACAAGGAGGTGGTAAGAGTAGGTGAGAATGTTTCAGCCGTTTTGCAACGAAAACTGCCCCCTAAATACAAAGATCTTACCAAATGAAAATCTGAAAGGGCACTATGATATGACTTTTACATAAAAATATAGGTAAGTTATTTGGACATATGTATTAGTACTAAAATTTGCCTAGTATATGTAGTAATAAATGCAAAATAATTTACCTATAAAATAAGAATGTTATTTGATTCAAAATAAATTTATCTATACTTTACATAATAATATAGGTAAATTCTTGCACACATATATATTAGTAATAAAATGTACCCAGTATACATAATAATACTTGCAAATAATTCACCTACAAATAAAGGAAATTCGATTAAAAAAATAGTATATCTACTACCTTTTGTTTATAAATTTCAATTTTCCTTTTTTTTTTTGTACAAACATAATGTACCTACAATATAATTTACCTTATTGTTTAATCTTATAAAAGAATAATGTATCTACTGTTTTATTTTAATGGTGATAATTTTTCTTGGTTTAACTTTTACGAAATAATTTAGGCAATGTTTAACTTTACCAAAATAATGTAACTACTATTTTTGTGGGGTTAATAAAGAAAAAGTACTTGATCATTGAATGAGTGGCCCCGTAACCTGGCTCTGATACCAGATGTTAGAACCAAAGAAAAAACACAAAAGAGTTTCGGCAATGCAACGCTTGAAAGCTTTCACAAAGCAGGGAGAGTTCTTATTGAATGAAAACAACTATCATGGCTATTAAATAGCCTTACACTTGAACTAAAAGAAAATAACAACTGCCCACGATTTTACAGATCTTATAATCATGGTAAAGACTATGTCAAACAGAAAATGCATGCTTGTCCCTCAAGTATAGGGATTATTGGACTCATAACAACCCTAAAAACTAGGAACCCTAGCAGTAACGGCTAGAAATCCTAACAACTTCAACAAATATGGCTTAGCTAAACAATTTGGCTTAAAATTTTACACAGTAACTAGAAAATCAATCAAAGTTGCGATACTTAATTGATTGTAAAATAAAAATCTAGCTATTAATAACTAAACAGTGAAAAAAAATTAGGCATCAAGTACCCAAATTAAATTCGAGCATTGTAACCCTAAAAACACATGCAGATTGCAACAAACATATGCAGCCGGAATTGAAATGCATGAAACCCTAATTAAACATAATACAGCTGCTAATCTTCCTCCTCACCAACCTAAGAACAAAAATTGAAACAGATAATCGTCCTCCTCAGAAACCCTAAAAACTAAAATTGAAAAACATACTAATACTAGGAGTCCGAATCTCACCTCGAAGCTTCGCGGGTTAGGACGGATTTGGATTCTTCCCCTCCGCGGATCCTCCTGGTCCGCCTTCGAATCGGCGTTTCATGGTTCTGTTTTTGTCAGAGCTATAGAAAGAGAGAAGGGGCTGGAGTTTGGCAATATTTTTTTGTTTATTTTTGTTAAAGAGTTGTCAATCCATCAAATTCCCAAAAACAATTGAATAAAAAAAAACCCATAAAAATTGAAAAACAATTGAATTTTTTTTTCCTTTGTTTTTTTTTTGTTTGTTTTTGTTTGTTTGTTTTTTTTGTGTTTTACGAATAGAAATTAAAATAAAATTTGGAAGTGGTTTATGACTAAATTATTATATTGTCTTTAAATTTATATATGTTTAGTTATTTTAGAACTTTTTAAAGAAAAAGGGTAACGTTGTCGATTTACATTTGACTAAGAGTTTTTTTATAGTGTTGTTATTCTCACTCTAATATTTTATCTTCCCACCCACCTTTTAATGAACTTTTTTATTACATGTTTGCTTGTTTGTAAAATGATCGATAAAGACCTTAAAAGATAGCCCTTTGTTCACAAAAAAATTATTTACCCTTACACCCTAACTCACCCAATAAAATTCCTCAACTTTAACCCAACTGGATCAGTAAGAATCCCTCAACTCTAACCTAATTATAGGAATGGTCCTCTAATTTTAACTCAATTACAAAAAATAAAACACTTTTCGCTTTCAGTTGTTTAGGCCCGACTGAAGAAGGTTTGTGGAGTGAGATTCTTATCAAATTCTTATGCCAAATTGTCTCTTCTTTCATTGCAGGTAAAATAATGTTCAACGATTTTTCTCTATTTATATGCCTCCGTCAATTTTCTTGAACCAACTAATTATATAAAACTAACTTTTATAGGTGGTTTCCTTTTGCCCAAGTTTGAGATTCTCAAGATTATTGCTCAAGTTAAAACATGACAAGCTGAAGACTATTTCCGAATTATGAGCGCTCATTCTTTTTCTCTGTTAATCGTCTACTCATTCTTTTTCTCTTTCTACTCAGGAACTAAATATATAACAAGGACGAGAATTTTACAACCAATAATAAATATATGTCACATAAACATTCTTGCAGCCCCATTCAAGGAAACCATGAATGCAGCAGCTGCAGAACTGAAATTTGAAATCTGAAACGGTAACTGAGCACAGGTAACGTGTGTCCCAAGCAACATTCCGTGGGTCATTCCTGTCCTATCCAAGTTAAAGCCCAATATCAAGATCCTATGGGCCTCCAAGAATCCAGTCCAATATATATGTAACAATGTTACAGAATTAACCACCACCATTTTGGTTTTGGACATGGACTCAAAACTAAGAATCGACACAGAAGGAAGGGAGGGACCAAATGAACACCAACAACCATAACTTAAACCGAAATATCAACAAAACTCAAAGACCAACAACAACTCGAAAATGCAGAAGCTTCCCTGCTCGAGGACTAGGTGTATGTGAATCAATCACTACAACTGTCGACTAGAAACACACACACCTCAAAGCACCGGTACAAGCCAATCAAATCAAAGCAAAACGTCGATCCAAATTAATAGACACTGCACAGATATGATATCCCAAGCGAGTACATGCAAGGGACAGCCAAATCAAATACCGAAAATACCCAACAACAAAGTATATATATCCATGACCACAACAGAGCTATCTAGCTTAATATTCCAAGACATACGTGGTTCCATAACATCATATATATAATATAGAGCACTAAAATGAAACAATAATTCAACAGGTTCCGCATACATGCACCCCGTCATCCTCAGCTTCAGCAATCAGCAGGTGGTTTTTCATCGAACCAACATGGGTGCAAGGGCACATCCCCTCCAGTTTCAATGAGTAGTTTGTTCCATTCTGGGCAGTCATGAACCCTGTGAGTACCCGTCTCATGACAATAAGCACAGTTAAGGCGAATAGCACGCCGCCCATCTACTACATAGCCCTTACCAACCTGAGTTATGCCATAGGGGACCTGTCTCCTCCAGGGGCATTGATTCGGCCAGTGGCCAGGCTTCGTGCAAATTGCACAACTAGACGGAAATTCAGGAGGCCTAGCAATTATGCATATGGGTGGGCCTTTGGAAAGTATGTCCTCCTCGAGCCAACCTTGAGGAGTATTCTTCTCCTCAAGTTGGTGTTGAGTCTGAGAGTCTTGAGCAGCCCCTACTTTTGTGAGATGAGTCATTACAGAGTCTTTAACATACTCTTTTTCTTTATTTTTATATGCATCTGTGTTTGAAAGAAAATGTACAAATATATTAATCAGTGGTGGACCAAAGATTTAGCTCACGTGGGGTGTGGAGCCAAAAATAATTACAAGGCGACACGTGGATTTTTGGGTGAAGATGACAAATTTACCCTCAGTGCATACCAGATCTCCTACACGCGAGCAGTGGAGAATCATCCATTAACCAAATCAGGAGTACCCAAAATACGTAACAAGTTCAAATTTGTCTCATCCATCCTCATTCCATAACCTTCAAAACCTTCCATACAAATTAGATTAATTAGGCTAATTAATGGATTAATTCTAATTAATCCATTAATCACCAAATTAATCACCATTTTCACACAAATCCTCTAAGGGCCGGCCACCTCATTCCCTATATATAGGACCCTATTTCTTCTAAAAAGCTAAGCTCACACTCTTGCAAAACTCCCAAAAACTCTCCAAATATTTTTCTCTTTAAATTCTAACTTTGGCATCGGAGTTTCTTCGGCCAAACCCCCCCCCAATTCATTGTGGACGCGTGAGGTTCTTGGCCTTGACCTAAGATGTTAATTGTTTTGTAGGTGCAATTTTGTCCAAAAAGAAGAAGGCGGAAATTTGCATCCACAAATTGGTGCTTTCATTTGAGAGTTGAAATCCATACTTGTAGAAGACTTTCGCATAAAAAGGTTTTTCTCTATTTTCAAGTCCATTTGAATATTTTTTATACGTTCTTATTATTAGATTTTTTTATTTGCAAAGGTTCTTTGATAAAACGTATAAGAAAATATAATGGCTAGAAATTTAGAAAATTCCATAAGTGAAAATTCCAATACTCAAGAAATGGGATCGCGGAGATCCATGAGGCAAAATGCGGTCGTAAGCAGAGTGGCACCACCACTACAAGGTTCCACCATGGCCTAAGCCATGCCATCCAAGTTTGCACGGGCCCGAACCTAAGCCTCGCATTCGCATGCACCATGCATTGAGCAGCCTGCTCCCGTGATCCAGCCTGCTATCGCGACCCAGCCTGCTCCCGCCGAGCAGCCCACTCCCTTGGCCCAGCCTACTCCCGTGGCCCAGCCTACTCCCGCCGAACAACCTACTCCCGCGGCCCAGCTTGATTCCGCCGGGCAGCCCACTCCCGTGGCCCAGCCTGCCCCCGCGACCTCCCAAGCAACCCAAGTCGACCCAAGACTATCTTAACCATCTGGACCTACCATCAAGCCAGGGGCATTTTCACCACATTTCTTCGCGGATTTGACATTTCCCAACTAAAATATCGCGGCCGGAGCCTACCATACTTCCACTACTCAAGGAGGCACATTCCTTCCAATCTCTTCCAATCTAAATGGTAAACAACACTTGTCTCGACAAGTCATAGAGTTGACGAGCGTCCTTGCACAACAGATAACCTTGGTGAATCAACTCTTGCAATTCATCGAGATCCAACGTGCCTCGGACGAGGTGTCCCGAAGTAGAACAAGGGCAGATGAACCTCTCCACCAGCGTCCCGGTAAACAACCCATCAACCAGCCATGATCTGAGCATTCTGGCAATTTACGCTCCCGCCTAGATCCTTGGGATAACGTATACTCTCGTCTTATGGCGCGGAGGAGCGTGCATTCCCGATCAAGCCCATGGACGAGCATACGATCACGGTTGAAGTCACACTCCGATTATCAATATGGACAACCTTCCAGGCGAATTGTTCATTCACAACTAGGCTCACAAGGAGTATTCTCCACCTCACATTGGAGTAGGCAGCACGGTAGACGAAGAGAAACAGTCACTCAATCCGACTCAAGTTCAGCCGACAGCCTGCGAGCAGCCTGTTTACCTGCCAGGAATATGCCACATGCACCGCAGCTGCGACATAGACGAGTCAATCATAGGAAAGAGTGGCCCAAACCCATAGATCACAACCCAGGGCAGCCGAAAGTTCCACTGCCCCCAGCAGAGGTAAATTTAAGAAAACGTTGAAATGCTCCTAATTGAAAGATTGTGTAATTTCCAACGTAATGAGCCTGCTGATGATGCGCTTAGACGAGACATGACCAACATAAGCATGTCACCATTCACGAATGAGATCGAGCAGACAAATCCACCTCGCGGGTTCACTATGCCTCACTTCACTCCGTATAAGAGAGACGAAGATCTGGATCGACATCTTAAGCTACTGCAGTACCATGATCCTCTACAGGAACAACGACGCGTTTATGTGCAAGATTGGTTTCACACTCTACTGCCACAGTCGATCCGGAGTTTCAACGAACTTTCCTTTGTTTTCATTAAGGAGTATTCGTCTAACCGCTCAATCAAAAAGACATCCGACCATCTCTTCAACATCTTAAAAGACCCTAGGGAGACAATTCGGGACTATGTAAGGAGGTTCAAAGCTGAGAAGACCAAGATTGTTGGTTGCAATAAGGATATAGCAACGGCAGCATTCAGAAATGAGCTTCCATTCGAACATCTTTTATTCGGAAAACTAATCATGGGAGAAGAACTGATCCTAGCAGATTCGTATGCTTTGGCAGAAAAGCATGCATTATGGGACGAGGCCAAACAGTCTAACAAAAACGAGTCGAAAAAGAAGCACATGGAACGTTCCTCGACCAAAGAAGACTCAGGGCCTGAAACATTCACCAAGTTCACAGTTCCAATCAGCCAAATTCTCCGCAAGCTTAAGAACGAACCTTGGTTTGAACTGCCGCCACCCATGAAAGGCGATCTTACCAGGCTGGATCATACAAAATATTGCGCATTCCATTAAGGACCAGGCCACACTACCAACGACTGCCTAAAGTGGAAGCAGTACCTTGAGAAGATGACAAATAAGGGTCGATGCGATGAGTATCTTGATAGGTCAACGAAACAACCTACATAAGCAGGGGAAGTCTCCATCACCCCCTAAACCCCGTTTGGGCTTTTCCAAATAAGTTCGAAGTCTCAAGCAGCTTGACGAACAAGGCCTTGCAAGCCAAAGATTATCTAGTTTGTTATGCAGTTTCTACCTTCCAGCACAGTTGATTTATTTCTTTATTCTCAATGAAGATTCAAGAAGTTACTCATAAACGTGGCTCAACTGCTGTCCACAACAACTGCTAAAAACCCTTTCTAGGTTGCTCTCTAGTGCGAGAGGGTAAATCAATTCCCCGACACCCAAAAGGGTCTGCTTTCCAATGCGAGAGGATAAACTAATTGCTCTCCAGTGCGAGAGGGTAAACCAATTCCCCGACACCCATATGAGTTTGCTTTATAGTGAGAGAGGATAAACTAATTGCTCTCTAGTGCGAGAGGGTAAACTAATTGCTCTCAAACGTGAGAAGGTAAACTAATTGTTTTCCAGCGCGAGAGGGTAAACTAATTGCTCTCCAGTGCGAGAGGGTAAACTAATTCCTTGACACCCATCTGGGTAAGCTCTCCAGTGCGAGAAGGCCACATAACTTAAAAGATCGAATGCTTGAAGATCAACTAGGCAGCAAATGGTCAGGGGCAGCAACCACTTTTTCACTTAACAGTTCACTCATCCGACACTTCATCTTCAGCAGCTTCGATCTTGGCAGCTTTATCCTTGACTGCTCCATCTACGGCAGCTGAGAAATCAAACTCAAGCAGTTTCCTCATTTTTGGCAAGCAGCCTAGACATGGCAGCCTAAACCGTTGCCCATGCCACGCCACTTCCTCTGCCCATGCCGAGCTAATCCTTGGCTTCAATCAAGCCAAGCAGCACAAGCAATGACCCCTGCCACACCACCTCTTTGGCCTATGACAAGCCGACTCCTGGCCCCTGCCAGCTTACGTGCCGCACCACCCCGACGGTTGCCCCGTGGTAGCACCACCCAAAAAGAAGACAAGAAGAATTAAGTTTTTATTACATTGGTGCGGCACGGAGAAGACGAAGAAAGCAACAAAAGACGATCATTTGCACATGCAAGATGTAGAAGATTGCTAGAGAAGGGGGAACTAATATCCTCTAAGCTCTCTCTCTCTTGTAGGGTAGAATAAAAGGAAAACTAATGAAAAGGGCTTGAAAACTTTGAGTTTTAATGATACGGACAAAATAAAGGGTAAAGTGAATAGTACCAGGATTGACTTTTTAGTGTAAAAATGTGGTTTTTCGTTAAAGTGAACAGTATCGGGTGCTTTTCATTAAAGTTCCCTAGAATAAATCACTCTCCAAAGTTGATTTAATAACCCACTTAAGGTGGACTTAAATAGGCTTTGAGAGAAATTTATTTTCCTTTCCTAGAAGGATCTAATTTCATATTAAAGAGGGAATCTACATCAAAACAGGAAGCAGTTCTAAGTTTCCTAGAGTAAGATGATCTCTACACCTGCTGCCCTTTCCTACGAGCAGCCCAGCAGGTGTGGGGGCATTTGTGGAGCCAAAAATAATCACAAGGCGACACGTGGATTTTTGGGTGAAGATGACAAATTTACCCTCGGTGCATACCGGATCTCCTACACGCGAGTAGTGGAGAATAATCCATTAACCAAATTAGGAGTACCCAAAATAGGTAACAAGTTCAAATTTGTCTCATCCATCCTCATTCCATAACCTTCAAAACCTTCCATAAAAATTAGATTAATTAGGCTAATAAATGGATTAATTCTAATTAATCCATTAATCACCAAATTAATCACCATTTTCACACAAAATCCTCTAAGGGTCGGCCACCTCATTCCCTATATATAGGACCCTATTTCTTCTAAAAAGCTAAGCTCACACTCTTGCAAAACTCCCAAAAACTCTCCAAATACTTTTCTCTCTAAATTCTAACTTTGGCATCAGAGGTTCTTCGGCCAAAGCCCCCCCAATTCATCGTGGGCGCGTGAGGCTCTTGGCCTTGACCTAAGGAGTTAATTGTTTTGTAGGTGCAATTTTGTCCAAGAAGAAGAAGGCGGAAATTTGCATCCACATAGGGCATAAGAAAACAAATTAACTAAATATGTTTAAACAAATTACAAGAGTGAGGATATTCGAATTGGAGACCACTTTTAATACTAGAAAGAGAACAAACACTAGACCAATAACTGTTAATAAACCTAACATGTGAAGTAAAAAAATTTAAACTTTCGCAATTAATAACATTTTTAATAAGTTAATTGACAATTATCTAATAATGCATTTTAGTTTTCAACGGAATAGATTTGTTTTATGCGGGGGCACAAATATTAACCTATGGTCTTATTAGCCTACAAGCTGTATCAACTACATAGTTAAAGTTAGAGATTGCATAACCAAGTGAGGGGCATATGCCCATACTTGGTCCGCCCCAATGACATTAATAATATAGAACATAAGCTAAGTAAGCCATAACATCTGGATTCGGGCCCTTGCTTACTTTGGAGAGATTTTTTAGTGTGACCAACATACGGGATGGTACACCATATGTCACTATATAAATTATGGGATATGTGTGTTAAAAGGTTAATAACTTAAAAAATAAAATTTCTCACAACTTACATAGAAACAAGTGGTGTGCCACTCTTGTTCCCGTCACAATGAAAAATTTCTCCTTACTTTGTATCTCGATGTCATTCATGCTCAATTACATTCTACACAAGTAATAAATAGCTACTTGAAACTAATACTCCCCAGCGAGTGTGAAATATTGTTGAGAAGTATTTCTACACGAGCGGCCGGCCTGGCCAAATCAGACAGAACTGCGATACTTAATTGATTGGGAAGTGAGTATCTAGCTTAGCTAAACAATTAGGTTTAAAATTCTACTCAGCAACTGAGAAAACCAATCAAAGTTGGGATTCTTAATGGACTGTAAAATAAATATCTAGCTATTAATAATTAAACACCGCAAAAAATTAGACATCAAGTACCCTAATTAGATTCAAGCACGAGAACCCTAAAAACACATGCAGATTGCAACGGACATATGCAGCGGGAATTGAAATGCATGAAACCCTAATTTAACTTAATGTTGCTGCTAATCTTGCGTCTCACAAACCCTAATAACAAAAATTGAAACAGATAATCGTCCTCCTTACAAACCCTATAAACTAAAATTGAAAAGCATACCTATTTCACCTCGGAGCTTCGTGGGTTGCGTCGGAATTGGACCCTCCCCCTCCGTGGATCCTCCTGGTCCGCCTTCGAATCGGCGTTTCATGGTTTTTTGTTTGTCAGAGATAAGAGAAAGAGAGAAGGGGGTACAAGTTTGGTCTTTCTTAAATTATTTTTGTCAAATATTTTGTCAATCTATAAAATTTCGAAATGCACAATATGCGTGTGTTTAAATATGAGGAGATATAAAATATAAAAACCATAAATACCAACAAAAACAATTGAAAAAATATATATATTTGAGTGTTTTATGAATAGAATCTAAAATAAAATGTGGAAAGGTAGGAAGTGGTTTGTGACTAAATTACTATATTGTCTTTAAATTTATATTTACTTAATTATTTAAAAATATTTAAAGAAAAAGGGTAACGTTGTCAATTTACATACTCGATTGGCAGAGTTTTCTTAAGGTAACTTAATCAAAAATCAATAAAAACTTTACTATTAAGCCATATATCAATGACATATTTTTGTGTTTAAAAAAAATGACATTTTATTTTGGACTTAATCGATGATATATTTTTATTAATTAGCTATAGGTTAATGATGAATACCACATAGATTTAAGTCATTATAAATAGTTAGAATTTGACTATTCTATCATTCTCTCTTTCTCTCTCTATGAATGTCATATGACCTTTAAGCTGTTATAATAGAGATTTAGATCATCTCCGTATCAGTTTTGTGGTATCGACAGGACGGATGGATCTCATCCATTGATACAAATCTAACGGCCAAAAATCTCTTATCCTTCCTCTCTTCCCCTCAACTCTTCTCCTTCTCCCTAACTTCGAAGCTCTCAACCTCAAACCACCAGCCCCCCAAATTCAAGATCAAATACAACCCCAGCTCAAAATCAGCCGCAACGCCACAACCCACCCAACCCAACAACCCTTAATTGCAGGTTCCTCACCTTACCCTCCCCAAAATCCAGCATCGCCACATCCCTCAATTGCAGGTCTCACGACCCTAAAATCTCATTTGATGTTAAAGAAACAACAAAGAGAGGGGTCGTGCAAACCGGTGTCTTTTGGTTGTAGAGATAGTTTTCATAACCATGGAAGAATTATAGAGGGAAAACAAAGTTACAATAGCGAGAGAAATCTCAAAGATGAAGGAGAAGAAAGAGATGACAAATAAAAAGCTAAAACACTAGAAGTGAGCAAAAAATAAATCAGACCTACAGTACAGATGACCTGCAATTGAATTTGGGGTTTTGTTATCAACGATGGGGTGTGACAGTGCAAGGAAGAAAAGTTGAGGAGGGAAGAGAGGAAGGGAAAGAGGTTTTGGCAGTTGGATTTCTATCCCTATGGAACTGATCCGAAGATGATCTGAATCCTATAAATAGTTAGAACATGAATATTCTATCACTCTGCCTCTCTAGACCTTCATTTACATGGAGGAGCCTGCTCAACTAAAAAAAAAGGGAACTAGGAAATGAACACTACGTTACAATGTCCAAATCCAAATGTAAAAAACAGAACTAAAAAATAGACAATGCATTACAACAATTGCTTTCAGTTTGATCTGTTTGAAAGAGTAGCACAACCATAAAAAAAATGAAAACATTTTCCAAAAAACAAAAGAGAAAACATAACTTTACAATGTGGACAAAATCACAGTTCCAAGCGAAATGCTGAAGATCTTTGTGTAATTGTGTGAAAAAAATGTTTGGGATAATTTCAAGGGTTGATGAAATGCTTGTTTCGAGGCAGAAAAAGAATGAAAATATGCTGGTTTCATTTGTGTTGCTGCCTCCCTCAGCTCTTTAGAGATGTACCCCAATGGACAAGCTTTGCAAGAGGAAACATTTGTTGCCAATGATGTGGGAACAGAGTAGGATTCTTTCCCCTCCTATTCTCATCCCCTTCCCTCCCCTCCTGTCACATATTGCTTTTTGTCTTATTGTCTCTATAAAAAAAAATCAATATAAGATGTTGACGTGGCTTAACCGTAACCGTTCAAATAGGAGGGGAGGGAAGAAGAGAGAGATTAGGAGGGGAGAGAATCCTCCTCCTGTGGGAACACAAACAAATAGTGTAACTTTCGACCCGTAATCCCCACGTGGACTATTACATTTAACTTTTCTAGTTGATTTTGTTTGCATGTTTGACCTTTTGTAACATGGCAAGTCACTGTTGGTCCACTCATTTCGGACGCATTGTAGTACAAAAACATCGTCTTTGTCTGAAAATTCGATTTGCCCTGCTCGTAATGAAAAATAATGAACAAACATCAACAAGAAAAAAAATTCACATATTTTCCATATGACAATTTTTGTGATTCCAGACATCATAAATTTTAGAGTAAAGTACAAAAAACTACCTCAACTATTAGTCTCACAACACTTTCATACCTCATCTTTTTAAAATGACAATGTCATACCTCATCTTACGAATTTGTGCCAATGTCATGCCTCCGTTAGTTTTTCTTTTAGTTTCTCTATTAAGTGCTGATGTGGCTTGGCTTAAATAGTGACGTGGCTTAAATAAATTAATAAAATATTAAAAAATTAATTAATTATTAAAAACTAAAAAATTAAAATCATTTAATATTTTTTTTACATGGGGACCCACCCCCTTTCCCCCTCCCGTCTTCCCCAAATCCGATCCACCCCCTTTATTCTCCATCCACCCCTTTTCTCCCTTCTCTCATCTGCAACCCCACCCACCTTTCTCTCATCTGCAACTTGCACTCACCCTCATTTCTCTCCTCTTCATCGTCGACTCCATCCACCAACGACCATCACCCTTTTCCCCATTCTAACTGACGACATCGAAGTCGCCGATCTTTAGCACACCAACCTCATCCCTCTCCGGGTACCCACTCCCTCCATCGATCTCCTCCCCTTCCTTACCAAACTACCCATATGGGTTCGAATACTTCTGCGAATCCTTGACAGCCTTGTCGCCCCGCGATTACCAAGTAATCGACTTCGTTGTCGGGTTTGCAGAAGTTGAGGATCGCCTCTGTCACCTCCCTCTGCTCCTGCAGTCCAGCACCGTCTTCAAGCCCAGCAAAACGCAGCAGCAATCCCCGCACCCACCACAGCTGCCGAGTCTATTGTGAATACAACTTGGGTTTTTTTTTTTTTTTTTTTTTCTGGGAAAAATTGAATGGTTTTGCTTTGTTTGGTTGCTTGGAAAATGTGGGAGAAAGGAAATGAATTTTTTTGATATTCTGAAGGTTCCATTTTCTTAGAAAAGTGAGGTAAACTGGAAGATGGATTTTTGAACTTTTGTTAATGGTGTGTTCTCAGGATTGGTGGGTGCTTTGTTTTTGATGCATGCTTGTAGGTTAGAAATAGAGAGAGCGGCAGAGGAAGAGAAGAAAGGCACCTGGTGGGAATGAGAGTGGCTGGTTTAGGGTGGGATCTGGGTTTGGGTTTGGGGAAGACGGCAACCTGGTCGGCGCCGACCTTGACAGCTCTCCCTCTCTCCCTTTCTCCTTGACAGCTTCAGAGACGGCAACGACGGCGAATCGGCGGTGGGCAATGGAGTGGGAGAGGGAAGCGGGTCGGAGCTTGCAGGTAGATCCGAGAAAGGAGGGTGGATGAAAAAATCCAGGTGGGTTTGGGGGGTTCTGGGCACGGCGAGAGATAGAAGTGGGGAGGAAGGAGACTATGGTGGAGAGGTGAGGGAGATGCGAGAGAGAGGGGAGAGAGAGGGTGGTGGAAGAAGGTTGGGGGGACGGGTGGGAAGGGGACGGGGGGGTCGGGTGGGAAGGGGTTTTGGGGATGCAGAGAAGAGAGAGGTGAGAGAGAGGTGAGAGAGAGGGGGGGAGAGAGAGAGGAGAGAGAGAGAGAGATTTAATATATATATTTTTTAATTTTTTAATTTTTAATTATTAAAAAATATATTTAATTATATTTTAATCCAGTTGGATTAGTGAGTGACCCCGTATCTAGCCACGTCAACACTTAACAGAGAAACTAACAGAAAAACTGATGGAGGTATGACATTGGCACAAATTTGTAAGATAAGGTAAAACATTGACATTTTAAAAAGATGAGGTATGAAAGTGTCGTGAGACCAATAGTTGAGGTAGTTTTTTTGTACTTTACCCTAAATTTTATGTAAGAGCTAATTTAATTAGATAGTTATTGAATATCTTCTTAATTAGCTAAATACGACCCTTATTTTATAACAACAATAAACTGTTTTTTGCGCATTTTCCATACCATTAGTAAAAGCAACTTGCTTGAAAACGCAGTCTATTTTCTGTCTTTACGATAATTTTTTTTTTTGCATAAACTAAATATAATAAAGACAAGAATTTTACGTTTAATCGATTACTCAATCTCTTTCTACTCAGGAACTAGTACTACTTGTTAGTTGTTTTCTTGTACGATCAGTAATAAATAAATGTCTCATAATATTTCCCTTTTCAATTTAGGAAAAAGAAGAAGAAGAAGATTGTATGTTTGTTGTATATTTAAAATATATTTTGAAAAGACAAAAGATACTTTCCCCCTTCAATACAATTATGAAGGCTTTTGCCATTTGGAAAAATTTGCAACGTATTGTTCAAGGGAACCATGAATGCAGCAGCTGCACTGCACAATTAACCCCAACAACAATCGACACGAAATTAACAGAGAAGGACCATATGCACCCCAACAACCATTACTTATGCGAAATATCTACAAAACTCAAAAGACCAACAATAACTCAAAAATGCAGAAGCTTGCCTGCTCGAGGGTGTATGTGAATCATTCACTACAATTGTCGATTAAAAACACACGCACACCCTTAAAGCAAAAACACCACCAGTTCAAGCAAATCAAATCAAAGCAAAACATCGATCCAAATTAAGAGGCGCTGCACAGATGATTCTCCAAGGCGAGTACATGCAAAGGACAACCAAATTAAGCACAGGAAACACGGAACTATCTAGCTTAATTATTCCAAGACATACGTGGGTCCACAACAACATATATGTAACCTAAGGCACTAAAATGAAACGGTAATTCAAAAGCTGCAGCACACATGCACCCAGTCCTCCTCAGCTTCAGCAATCAGCAAGTGGTATATCATCGAGCAAACAGGGATGCAAGGGCGCATCCCCTCCATTTTCCTCAAGTAGTTTTTTAAAATCCGGGCAGTCATCAAGCATGTGGGTACCAATCTCATAACAATGAACACAATTAAGGCGAACAGCACGCCCCCACTCTACTACATAGCCCTTGCCAACCTGAGTTACGCCTTTTGGGAGCCGTTTCCTCCAGGGGCACATATCATACCAGTGGTCAGGCTCAGAGCAAATTGCACAACTAGAGGGCATAGAGGAAAATGTGCCTGGCTTGATTATGAGTTCATCAGCTAAGCATGTGGGATTATTGTCCTCCTTGAAAAAAGTTGGAACAGTATCCTTCTCCTCAAGCTGGAATTGAGTCTGAGAGTCTTGAGCAGCCTCTACTTTTGTGAGATGAGTCGTTGGAGAGTCTTTAACAGAATCTTTTTCTTTATTCTTACCTACATCTGTGTTTTAGAGAAAAGCATTGATACATTAATCAGTGGCGAACCAAAGATTTAGCTCAAAAAAAAAATATTAACTAAATATGTTTCAACAAATTATGAGAGTGAGGACATTCGTAACTTGAGACCACTTCAATATTAGAAAAAGAACAAACACTATACCAATAACTAGTAACTGGTAAGAAACCTAAAATATGAAGTAAAAAATTTTGACCTTTCACAATTGATAGCATTTTTAATAAGTTAATTTACAATTATCCAATAATGCATTTTTGTTTTCAACGGTATAGATTTGTTTTATGTGTAATCACAAATATTAACCTATAGTCTTATTAGCCTACAAGCTGTATCAACTACATAGTTAAAGTTAACTCTTTGTCTAACCAAGTAGGGGATAAGCTAAGTAAGCCAGAACATCTGGGTTCAGGCCCTTACTTGTATTCTCGATCTTACTCATTCAATCATCAAGTACTTATTACTACTTCATGCTCAATTACGTTCTACACAGGTAATAAATAGCTACTTGAAATATTTCTGCACGAGTGGCCGGCCAGGCCAAATCAAACAGAACTGCGATACTTAATTGATTGAGGAATGAGTATCTAGCTTAGCTACACAATTCGGTTTAAAATTCTACTCAGTAACTGGGAAAACCATTCAAAGTTGCAATACTTAATTGATTGTAAAATAAATCTCTAGCTATTAATAATTAAACACCGAAAAAAATTGGGACCCTAATTAAATTCCAGCACCGGAATCCTAAAAACATATGCAGCCGCAATTGAAATGCATGAAACCCTAATTAAACATAATGCTGCTGCTAATCTTCCTCCTGACAAACCCTAGGAACAGAAATTGAAACAGATAATCGTCCTTCTCACAAACCCTATAAACTAAAATTGAAAAGCATACCAATACTAGGACTCTGAACCTCACCTCGGAGCTTCGTGGGTTGGGCCGGAATTGGACTCTCCCCCTCCGCGGGTTCTCCTGGTCCGCCTTCGAACCGGCGTTTCATGGTTTTGCGTTTGTCAGAGAGAAGGGGGCACGAGTTTGGGTTTGGCGACAATTTTTGTTTATTTTTGTGAAGGAAGCCTTTAGCTACCGTTTGGTACGTAGATGAGACGGAACAAGACGGGACGGGACGGGACGGGACATGACAGAATAGGATGGAACATATGATGTAAATATTGAAAAAGATAAGGAGAAATTTTGTCATAAAATGTTATAAATTTGTGTTCCACGGATGTGGAACGAGTCGTTCCAGGGGGAAGAGGTGGAACGAAAAATCAGCTAAATTTCGTTCATGGGACAACTCGTTCCACAGTTTTTAGGCGCATCAAACATGGGATGGAATGGCTCGTCCCGTTTCATCCCGTCCCGTCCCACGTACCAAACGGTACCTTAAGGAAGGGATCCATTTAAAAAAAAAAATTGGAACATTCTCTTGACCCGTTAGATTTGGCTTTAAAGAAATCTTATGGTTGAGATTTTGTGGCTGTGATTTAATCTCAGCCACATAATTTTATTAAAGTCAAATCTAATGGTCAAGAGAATGTCTTCATTTTTTTTTGAAAAATGGGGATCCCTTTCCTTAAGGGTGCGTTTGGTACGTGGGACGGGACGGGACGGGACGGAACGGGACGAGGCGTTCCGTCCCGCGTTTGGTGCGCCAAAAATGGGTGGAACGGGCTGTTCCACGGGACAGATTTTGGGTGTTTTTGTGTCCCACCTTCCCCCTGGAACGGGTTTGTTCCACGTCTGTGGAACACAATGTTTTACCATTTTAAGACAAATATACCCCATGTTTTTTCAAAAATTACACCTTTGTTCCGTCCCGTCCCGTTCCGTTCCGTCCCGTCCCGTTCCGTTCCGTCCCGTCCCGTCCCGTCCCGTTCCGTCCCGTCTGCGTACCAAATGCACCCTAAAGGACCTGTTTTTGTGAAATAGTTTTGGGGATGGTTAAACTTTCAAGGATTTGACTATAATACCCTTCACACTTAACAGATTATGCTTTCTTTTACTTAGTTTCTATTTATTTATTTACTTATTTTGCGTGTAAAAATAATCATTGACCGTTTGTCAATTCAGAAAATTCTCAAACGCACAAAATGCGTGTCTTGTGTTTTTTTTTTTTTTGTGGGTAAATTGCATTTTATCTTTTTAGGTTTCAGTGCAATTGCAATCTCATACAATATATTTAAAACATTTCAATTTCATATATTTACTATTATTTTATTTCAATTTCATACAACCGTTACAAAGTCTGTTAAATTAACCATTAAGTGATGATATGGCAAATATGAGGTCCTTATTTGTGCTGACGTGACTACCACATTTGTAACACGTGGCTAAACACTTAATAAAAATTTTAGAATTATTCAAATAATTAATTAAAGAAAAGTAAAAAGAAAAAAAATGAAAAACCAAAAATCTCCTTCGTCTTCCCCACCCATCACCCACCCCTTCCCCCATTAATTCTGCACCCTTTTTCAAACCCAAAATTTGCAAAAAATTGACCTTTCACAATTAATAGCATTTTTAATGTTAATTTATAATGCATTTTAGTTTCAACGGGATAGATTTTATTTTATGTGGGCTCGAGTGGGGGTCGAAAGGGGATTTTTGGTGTTTTTTGTTTGTTTGTTTAATTTTTTTTAACTTTTCTTTAATTTATTTTTTTTAAATTTTAATTAAATATTTAGTCATGTTGTACAAATGTGGCATCCACGTCAGCACAAATAAGGAACCCATATTTGTCATGTCATCACTAAACGGTTAATTTAATAAACTTTGTAACGATTGTATGAAATTGAAATAAAATAATAGTAAATGTATGAAATTGAAATGTTTTAAAGACGTTGTATGAGGTTGCAATTGCATCGAAACATGAGAGGGTAAAATGTAATTTATCTATTTTTTTTAACAATAGTATTAGACTAGGGGAGAGGCAGGGAGAGAGTTAAGTCTTACAATGGGTTTGCCATAATAATGTGATTCAACTTCGCCTTTGGCGAAAATCGAACCTAAGACTTCTTACTTACAAGTGAAAAAGAATACTACTACACCGTAGTACTAAGTGGTAAATATGAGGAAATTATAAACAAAAGAAAACCCACAAAACTTTGAAATATCCAAAAAAAGAAAAACAATGCAAAAAGAATTAAAATAAAATGAGAAAAAGTAGGAAGTAGTTGATAACTAAATTACTATATTGTTTTTCAATTTATATGCATTTAATTAGGGCAAATCAGATAAATAGTCATGTGCTTATAAGGTATTCGGATAATAGTCTATTTGGTAAAAGAAATTCTGATATATACCCTTGTGGTAAAATCTTCCCCTCTGGACCTCTGATTCGCCTTAATCGTTGAACCCAATTTGTCCAATTCTTGCATTCCAACCTAGAAACCCAGTTTCCACCGACTCTTGAGATTGACGGCGATCACCCAACATAGAAAGGAACGCTCCCAAATCGATTCCCAATTTCCCATACCCTCTCAGTTTGGTTCTTCAATTGCCGTTGTTTGTTGTTGTGATTGAATTCCTCTTTTACGAATTCCAATTCTTGTTTTTGTTTTCAATTGTTGTTGTGATTGAATTGGGTATTCTCTTATTTGGATTTTGTTTACTATTTGAACTGTTTAATTCGTGATTTGTTCTATGCCAATTCAAATTGACCGTGGATTTGATTGGTTTGATTCATCAGTTCTTGCATCCAATTTATTAATTTTTTAATGTTCTTGAATTGTGCCAAGAAAATGTGGGTTTGGTAGGAATTTTGCCTAAGCATTTGAGATATTGTAACTGGACCTCTAATTTTAGCAATTCTTTGATTATATGTTTGATGGGTAATTTGGTTTCGTATTAATATCAAAATGCTGCTTTGGTAGTAGACTGGAAAAGAAACCAGACACCTTTAACTTAAGCTTTCGACGGAAGAGGCTTTGAACTCGGATACAATGAGATTAATACGAAGAGGCCCTCGTCACGGAGGCAATCGATCACATGTGCACAAAACAAAATAAATATTGATTCATATGAAACAAAAACAGTTTATCACTACTTATCAAAGCATCCAAAAGAAAAACAAGGATATTTGTGTTGAATTGTAATCTTGTTTTGACCCAAAGATAATGGATCTAGCCCATGCACAAAGAAATATCCATGCACATGCTAGAGAATTCTAGCAAAGTTCAAGTTGGTGGAAAAGTCTAGAAGAATGGTGAGGATTTCACCAACATACAAGATTAGTGTAGATAATTCTAGCATAGAAAGGTAGTGGAATTATCTAGATATATCTAGCATGATGTTTCCATGCTTCTCTAAGGTTCCATCCATGCATATAAAAGGAGAAGACATCCACACCATTTGTAACAACCAAGAGAGCAAGTAGTGAGAAGTGAGAAGAAGCAACAAAGCTTCCAAGAGTGTTTGAGTATTTCCTTTTATACTAAGTTTGTGAGTGAATAAAAATCTTGTGTAATACTTTGAGTATTCTTTCTTTCTCTTGCCTATAGTTTCCGTTGCATTACATTCTTCTTTGTGAGATAAACGTCTCCAAAGTAGGGAAGTCTTTTTAAACCCCAACAAAGTTGTATAAGAGCTTTGGCTAGCAACGCTATGGCAGCCTTCCAAGTTTCAGTGCTCGACAACAACAACTTCGATAATTGGAGTATCAAAATGAAGGCCCTTTTGGGAGCACATGATGTATGGGAAGTCGTGGAGAAAGCCTACACTGAGCCAGAAGATGAAGCTACTCTGTCCCAACCCCAGAATGAGAGTTTGAAAGATTCAAGAAAGACAGACAAGAAGGCTCTCTACCTCATCTACCAAGCATTAGATGAAAATGGCTTTGAGAAGGTCTCGAGTGCAACCTCCGCCAAGCAAGCATGGGAGAAACTTCAAACCTCTTACAAAGGAGCCGAACAAGTGAAAAAGGTTCGTCTTCAAGTATTAAGAGGTGAGTTGGAATCTCTACAAATGAAAGGGTCTGAATCAATCTCTGATTATTTCTCAAGAGTCTTAGCCGTTTCCAATCAATTAAAAAGAAACGGAGAAAAGTTAGAAGATGTTAGAATTATGGAGAAGATACTACGCTCGTTGGACCCCAAGTTCGAGCACATTGTTGTGATGATTGAAGAAACTAAAAACTTGGAAGAAATTAGTATAGAGCAATTAATGGGTTCGCTACTAGCATGCAAGAACAATGATGGAGACCAAGACTATACATGGTACCTTGACACCGGCGCCAGCAACCACATGTGCGGAAGAAAAAGCATGTTCGTAGAGCTCAATGAATCGGTGAGTGGCAACGTTTCTTTTGGAGACGAATCCAAAATACTCGTCAAAGGAAAAGGTAACATCCTTATTCCCCTGAAAAATGGCGGTCACCAATTAATTTCAAATGTCTACTACGTGCCCAATATGAAAAGCAACATTTTGAGCTTGGGTCAACTCTTAGAAAAAGGTTATGATATTCACATGAAAAATTATAGCCTTTTTCTTAGAGATGACAAAGGAAGATTAATTGCCAAGGTGAAAATGTCAAAGAATAGGATGTTTCCTATGAATATTCAAAATGATGTTGCAAAGTGCCTCAAAACATGTTACAAAGACACATCATGGCTTTGGCATCTTCGTTTTGGGCATCTGAACTTTGGGGGACTGGAGTTATTATCCAAGAAGGAGATGGTGAGAGGCTTACCGTGCATCAGTCGCCCTGAACAAGCTTGCGAAGGATGTTTGCTTAGGAAACAGTTCAAGAAAAGCTTTCCAAAGGAGTCGACCATAAGAGCCCAGAAGCCACTCGAGCTCATTCACACCGATGTGTGTGGTCCAATAAAACCAAGCTCTTTGGGTAAAAATAATTATTTCCTTCTCTTCATTGATGATTTTTCAAGGAAAACCTGGGTGTATTTCTTGAAGAAGAAATCAGAGGTATTTGGAGCATTCAAGAAGTTCAAAGCCGCCGTAGAAAAAGAAAGTGGTTGTAAGATCAAAGCCATGAGATCTGATTGAGGAGGAGAATTCACTTCGAAGGAATTTCAAGAATTCTGTGAAGCCAATG